GGTTCAAGGCCAGGATGGAAGCGGCCCATAAGACGCCAATGATCACCCTCAACATGGGCTCCGCTGGTCAGCTCAGTCGTATCCTCAACGGATATCTCACCCCAGTGTCCCACCCTGATCTTCCGTTCAAGGCAGCCCCAGGCCAGCTATCCGCTGCGGAGATCCGACAAGGCCTGTCCCTGGTTGGAGATATTGCCCCCAAGAAATTCTATCTCTTTGGCAAGCCCATCTCCGCCTCGCGATCGCCAGCCCTACACAACTCTCTTTTCAAGCAGGCGGGCTTGCCCCACCACTACGGCAGACTCGAGACTGATAATGTCGCAGATGTTGATGAGGTCCTGCGCAGCCCCGATTTTGGGGGTGCCTCGGTGACAATTCCTCTCAAGCTCGATATCATGGACCGCCTAGACGACTTAACAGAGGCTGCGCACGTCATTGGGGCCGTGAATACGGTGATTCCTACTGGTGAGACGAACAAGGACGGCCGCCAATTCTTGCTCGGTGACAACACAGACTGGAAGGGCATGGTTTCCACGTTAAAACGAGGGGGTGTGTCTGCCCAGGAGGCCAGCGGTGTCTCTGCCGTTGTTGTCGGCTCCGGTGGTACCACTCGCGCTGCAGTGTTTGCTCTACAGTCCCTAGGATTCAGTCCCATCTACGTCCTAGCCAGAAACTCCGAAAAGGCGAACGGTCTCATCTCTGACTTCCCTGAAAGCTTCGGCCTCAAGGTACTGTCAGAGAAATCCGAGGTTGAGAGTTTGCAGTCAAGTCCACCTGTAATCATCAGTACAATCCCCGGGGATCGACCAATCGATTCTGCCATGCAGGAGTTATTGACTCTCATCCTCGCCAAGACACCCGACAGCAAGCAGGCACGTGTTCTGCTGGAAATGGCGTACAAGCCACAGCAGACCCCGGCGATGCAGCTGGCAGATGATGCCGGTGGGTGGACAACTATCCCCGGGCTCGAAGTGCTTGCAGCACAGGGATGGTATCAAGTAAGTGTCCCCGGATCCACTCGTTTTCTTTCGCTTCTAACTTGAGGATGTGCAGTTTGATGAATGGACCGGGATCACGCCTGTCTACGACGATGCCAGAGACGCTGTCCTTGGCCGATTGGCCGGGCAGTGTGAGGACTAGGGGCGTGCTGCCAGCATCGATAGACGCCTTCCGGTTGGCGACGGTCAGACCATTCGTTCACCCACAGGCATTCCTGGGGAAGGGGGTTGTTCTAAAATTGAAGAACATCTACGGCATCTGAGTAGATCTAGTTAACCATCTAAAATAAAATAGGACCAGGGGACCTACTGGTTTACCATGGTCCTCCTCCTGAGGGGCAGGCTTCAAATATAGATGTAGAAAAAGAAAGTGATGAGAATAGAGTCTGTGCCTACCTAGCGTTCCGCGGTGCATGCCGTGAAAATAGCAGCCCCCAGCTACAGTGACATGCCATGCCTGAAGCGTTGGCGAAGTAGATCCTTGGCCAGGCGCATGGCTCGCGGGAAATTTCCCGTCCAGCAGCATGTGTGAAGGCATCGATGGCACCAGTGGTGTCCGTGGAGCCAAGGACGGGAAGGGCCTGAGCCAATAGGGGGAGGATAACGGTCTGTCTAATATCCCTGGATATGTGACAAGGTAAGAATGGAGCGGGCCTGGCTGATGAGATGCAGAGCGAGCAGGTCCATGCTTCGGCGGCCGGTCTGCATCGACAACGACTCTATTCACATCTCGCCGTGCACTCTCGGGGCAAGTCAGCTCGTCGGGAGCTATTCTGGGGGTGGTTCCGCTTCGGGATGCTTAGCTCATGGCCTGTGCGGGATGGATATTGCTGCATGCCATTCCGGGAGGCCAGTCAGGCCTATTTCCAGCGATGCGTATAACGTAATCAACCCTGTTGGAGCCGAATCTGGGCTGGTGGGGGCTGGGTTGGGGAACCTCCAGTGTGGGTGGTTACTGCCGAAACGGTTGCTGAAGCCCCGTCCGCCTCAGCTGAGGCATCGCAAGTAAACAAACAACCTAAACGACGGAGAGATACTTGAAGCTATTTGTATGTCGCGAGCATGGTCTCATCTTACTCTCATCCTATTCGAGTTTCGTTGATCATAGTGCGGATACATGTCTGGCTAGAACATAACACTATTACAGCAAAGCAGAACCTTCTGAGTTGCATTTCAAGTTGCATCTCTCTTCGCACCTACCTAGGTAGTATGTTGTGTTGTTGATGTGGTTCCAATGGGATGAGGGAATGGCGCGTGGCCTTCTGGAAGTCATGCTGCAGCAACGGCAGTTGCTATTGTGCCGCAATTAGACATAGGCAGGCCTGGGGAAGCAGAAGCATAGTCGCGGGAAATCCTTCAAAGGTCGGCAAGCAGCCCTACTAGAGCGTCTATTTTGGGCCACTGGCCTTCCATACCATGGCGGACAGGCCCACCAGAGCCCCCCAGAGTGCCTGCAGCGTCTAATCTCAGCACCCACGCACAGGCGCCTGTCCGCCGGCTAGCCACCTATTACAGCGCGTCCAGGCAACTTGCACGGGCCCTGTGCAGGCCTCTACCGCGCACACCCCCAGCTCGCACCATGGCATGAGCTTCCTGCTCTGGGCCCCCGTTCAATTTCCAGCATGCTGGCCTCCCGGCAGGTTGAAACCCTTGAATGGAGTTTCATTCTTCTATTATTACCTCTCAACTCCATGTCGAATTCGCTACGCTCCGAGCCTGGCATGGGGATTTCCCCGGCTCGCTGGCAATTAGCTTGATCCTAACCGCACACCCCCATTCCCATCATCAATCTTAGATTCCTACGGGCGGATGTACCGAGCTTTCAAGTTTCAGATGTTCAAGGATATTCTACAACTCCAGTTTGATATCGCGAAACACCAAGTAAGGCAGTTGAACAAGTATTAAAGAAAGATTTCATTCACATCGAAGAGCGAAAACAGTTTCAGGATAGACCCAGGTGGGTGATAGGAGAAATGAGACATCTAATGGAAGAGTACTTATGAACAGACTACTTTCTACGATGAATAGAGAAATTTAGGGTATACAATGAGATATAGTAATAATCCATACTGGATTATCTCTTAAAGATATAGAGTTAGCACTTAATAATCTGATAATACCTATCATAGACTCGATAATAAGCAGCTTAATGTTTGAGTGTCTCAATTTCAATGTCAACCACTGGAGACCGTAGGCACGTTCACGCACAGGAAAAAAATGTGTGCAGATCGCTCCGACGAACACCCAAGTCAACTACGTATACATCGCAACCGGCTGTTGATCATCTCTTCCAGGGCGCAGAAAGGCACGGTCGATCTCTTCCGGCCTGCCATTCCTCCCCTCGATTGAGCTAGCCAAGAGAACCCGATGCTGAAAAACTCAAGCTCTCTAAGACAGGAATGTGTTAGGGCTCCGGTCCGCTCTGGCTCCAGATCGCTGGATGACCCCAAGATCAGCGCTGGACCCCTTCGCCACCGATGAACCAAACAATGTTTCCCCGGCGCCGGCTCGATCGATCAAAGTGCAACTAGGAGCCCTTTCTCCGTCTCTCCCAACAGGAACTCTCCGCGCCCCTCCAGCAGGAACGAACACACCCCAAGGCTAGCTCCGTCGATGACCGCAGATTGGGTCATCTATTCTTAAATCTATGAGGGAATGTCCGCAAATAAGGAATGGCCTGCATCGGGTGGGCGTCATAATTAAAGTCAATGACTCTGTATCATCACAATTTGGACATCATATGGACGGCACATTCTTAATTTAGCTATTCTGAGGCAGTACTAACTGACAGACGAGACAAGGAAATTGATACCGGAAACAATTTTGGCCATGAATGAAAATCGGCAAACAATTCAAAGTTGCTCACACTGATTAAGGAGAGGAAAGCAGAGGACAATCAATTGTAGATAAGAAAATAATTCGATTCTTTCGCTTTACATTTCGTCATGTACCACCACTTTTTGTCGTTCGTGGTTTTTCTCTAGTCTCAATAATGAAAATGCAAGATAAACACCTCTCAACCCATGCGCTGGCTTTTTTTTCCCAATACAGAAGTGCAAAATTTCGTGGTCGTTGGTGGTAGTAACAATGTTGTGGCAGGTATAAAAATGAGTAAAAGTGAAAAGAAAACGCCACAATTTCCTGCCAGAGGACATTGACATGGCAATGGATTTGAGAATAGAAAGGTAAGTAATAATAAAAAAGCAAAACGCGCCAAAATCAGAAAAAGAAACCCATCAAAACATATTCTATGCGCTCATGGCCTCGTCGAACAAGGGACTTGAAACAATGTCTACCCAGAATGCTTTCCCGATTGTTCTGTCCACCCAAACTCCACGAAATTAAAATCGTTCTTGTGCTTGTACAAGGGTTTATCGATGACCCAATAGAAGAAGAAGAAGAAAATGTGATTTTTGATGAAAATTAAAAGAAACTGCACGTCATGACGCTGTTCAGGCATGCACATGCAATGCACCGTCGCCTGACGCGAGACGCTTGCATAGTTGGGACGATGACGCCTTGGAACAGGTTGGAATTGAGTGACGTTGACAGTTGAAAGAAGAGAAGAAGCAAAGCCAATCTTGGCAAAGGGTCCGTCCAGGTTCCACATGGGAGAAGGATCCTCGAATCGCTTAACACGAGGCGGTTGGCGGGGAGAGAGTAGAATTCGGGGGAAGGTGCCATGATGTCAGAGTGGGTCCATGACGTCAGAGCTGGTGATCGCTTCTGGACCCTGCAGGACCCCTATGATCCACTTCGACCACGTCTTGCTTCTGATTGGCTCGGCGTCGCCAAGACATGGCGCACGGCCAACGTCATGGGCCCACTCTCCCCTCCCAAACCAACTGCTTCCTGCCAATAGCCTCATTCCAAATCAACCCTTCGCTGCGTATCCATCTGGCTCTGGTTGCTTCGATGTATCGCTATGTTGTAATTAATGCCGTATTATCTTGTTTAGCTTCGGTTTGAATTGGATTGCCGCACACCCCGGGGGTATGGCATTCAGCTGCCACCACGGCGGCGGTGCTTGCCAGGGAGGTCCATGTCAGGGTGGCAGACACGATAGTGTCTTGTCAATGCGTCGGCGCGGCTGAATGTCTTCTCCTCTGTGCAGACGTCGCATCGGACCTTCTGCTTGCGGGCGTTGTGGATCGTATCTTCGTGTCGAGTGAGATCATAGGGCCGCGAGAAGATCGTGTTGCAAGACTTGCCAGTGCTAGGGTTGATGCGATCGCAGCGGTGGGGTCCGGCTTGGCTGTTAAGCAGGCTGGATGTCATACCGTCGTGGGGTCGAGGTACTGTGAGGCCGTGACTTTGACGGTGACCCTCCCTCTTGTGCTTCTGGAGAAGAGCTGGCGTCTCAAAGCGAAGAGTGCATCCGTGATAGGTACATGTGTAGGTACCACCCTCAGCTGCCATTCCCATGGGTCGCGTCATCCTTGAAGGAGTGCTGCTGCGGGAGTTGATGCTAGAGCCCGAGGAGCCAAGACGAGCTGGCGAGCCGGTGGTGACAGGTTGTGCCCGGGCGACGAAGGGATACTGCTGAGGCACCTGGATACCCATACCGGTGGGCATCTGGGGTTGAAGGTAGCTGAGCTGGTCGCCGTTGTGGCCAGAGTGCATGAAGTGGGAGTTGACACCTTGGGGGACCATTTGCTTGGCCATCTGATCAATCTCCAAGCCTGTAGGCTGGGGGAAGAGGGGGAAGGTAGCCTCTGCCTCATCGTTGAACTCAAGCATCGCGTCCTTGGGAGAGATGGTCTTGGGTGTCGCGGATTGAGTGCGTGCGCGCGCCATCTGCTGCTGGTACATCTGGAGATCTTGCTGCTGCTTCCTTTGCGCCGTGTTCATTTGCATGCCCTGGTTCTGAGCAGCATTGAAGTCATGGCTGGAAGGCGCATAGGGGGAGTCGTGCCTGAATGGAGATGATCGGCCCCGCGAAGCAGTAGAGTTTGGAGAGTGAGAGATGTGGAGATGCTGGCTGTTAGCAGCGCTAAGGCGCTGGCTAAACAGTTCGTTTGGGGGAGACATGGCAGACATTTGGTGTTGTTGAGGTGGCGTAGATGTGATGGCAAAGTTGGGGCTGTAGAGCTCATCTCCATAAACATCTGTGATGGTGCGGTCAAGCTTGGGCATATTACCATAGCCTTCTAGAATAGGGAGAAGTGGTGAGTCACTGATTTCTAAGCCTTCAGCTGGAGAATTTTTCATACCTTTTCTGCGCCTGTCTGCAGCTGCATCTTCATGGCTGACAGTAGGGGTAGCTGGTGAATCACCGCCCGCGATTGAGCTTGCCACTGACCCAGGCTGGGATCGGCTTCCGCTGTTGGACAGCTCTGGCGCAGGCAGCAGATTGCTGCGGTCCACGCGTGTCTGCTTGCCACCAGGTCCTGGGATTGTGACTGGGTAGGCCATCTCAGGGACAGATGGGTCAAATGTCTGGTAACCCGAGTAATGGCTGACAGGCTTGGCCATCTGGTGGTAGAAGGACCCGCCCTGGCTGCTGTTGTCATGCTGGGCGTACATGTCAGAAAGGTCGTCACCGAGCGAGTCAGTGACTGCGATCTGAGGGTTAGATGTGTTGGAAGAGTAAGGTGATGCTGGGCCCGTGGAACCTAGAGACGAGAGCGAGGATCCACGTTGGTGAGAATATCGGCCAAGCTTTTCGGGTGTGTAACGAGGGATGTTGCCCCAAGAGTCTGACTGCATTCCGTCGTTGGGTAGAACACCGTTTGCGAGTGAGTTGATGTTGTCGATGATCGAGAGGGGTGTTGATGATGCAAAGTCGAAGTTGAAATCTGAGGGGAGCTGCTGAGCTGGTTGAGAATAAGTGCGCGTGTGACGACCAGGTAATTGGTTGCACTGGCTGTAATGGTATGGGGAATTGGTAAGGGATAGCATGATGGCGTCCAGTCTTATCGAGATTTAGGTTTGGTCTTCTCGGCGTGGTGGCAAACTGAGGAGGACCCAAGGGACTATATACCGTAGGCGAGAAGAAGAAGAGCAGCAGGGGTGGTAGAAGTGTGGGGCAGGAGGGGCGTATGGTTAAGACACCAACACCCCTATCCTCTCGACTCCCAGATCCCTGTCTAGGTCCCAACAAGGCCTGCTCCGATGCCTACCGCCCAGGACCCCGTTGGGTCCCGCCCGTCTGAAGGAGGGAGCTGATGGAGTGAGATTTGGAAATAGCCCTCTACCTTTCTTCCCGTCCGATATGCGGCGGTAGAATGGGTGGTTATTTCTGGCGACGAGCGAGATAGAATGAAGGTATCGACGACCCTGAAGCAAAACGTCCGTGGGCAGCAAGAGCGCTCCTGAGTAGCGACAGCTGGCCCAGGGTCGGTGCCGAGCGCCAGCCTCTTCGATTGGGTTCTGTGCCTGGACGTCTAAGCATGGCTAAGCATTCTGGAAGTTGCTCGACGCTGGTTGGTGATACATGCCATTGCAGACAAAGACTCACTCAATCAAGCAATCAATCAATCAATCAAGTAGGGTGTGCTAAGTCCGGTATGTCCAAGCTGTGCGCTATTCCCTTTTGTGTGCACATCTGAAATGAGCACACAGTTGATGCTGTGTTATTTTTCGTCGTCCGTGGCCGCTAGACGTGGTGCGCTGAACTTCGGAGTCATCTCCACCACAGACGGAGCTCTCCTGGCTGGTGCAACCAAGTGCTTTCCGGATAGTGTAGGGGATCTATCTTGGGCAACGGAATCTCCATGATGCAAAGAAGAAGCTGTAAACTGGGTCCATGAGCTCGACGAGGCTTGCGAGCGCCCTGCTGTGACGTATCGGCGTGTCGATCGTGGACTCTTGCTCATGCTCAACAAATCGAGGCCAAGGACAGGAGGCCAGTCACTGTCGCCCTAGGCTAAGCCACGGCTACATTAGTCATCGGCCTTGCCGCCACAATCCAGCAGCTTCTCTCTCCCTTGTGCAGCTGTACAGATGCTACGTAGCTTCTTGCTTCTCCACGTTTTCCGAGGGCTTGGCACAACAAGCCACACACGCAACCAGACAGCTTTTGAGAACCACAGCGAGACCGGTCCCGATCACACGACAGGGGAGGTCACATGACCCCGGCTTTGACTCTCCTGATGGCTAGCGACGGGATCAACGACCGGCGCAGAACCCCCCTGGCAGGCTGGCACGGCGTGAGTCCTATCACTGCGAATTGCTGGCCTTGTGCTCACTTCCAGGGTCATGGCCTGACTCTGGCTCTCAACTGCTCCCCCGTGACTGGCCAAATGTGGGCGGAGATCCTGTCTAGAGCTATGGGGCTCACGTCAATTGTTGGACCATCAGGCGCTGAAAGCATGAACTACGTGAGCTGCATGACACCCGGGTTAGACACGGTACCCAATCGACCGTCGGGTATGCACATCTAATTTTTTACCAGGCATTAGCTAGCAAGCATGGTCAAAGTAAATAAACTACACCCCCTACAAGGCTGCAAGATTCTGTTGATGGACCCGTCACCTGGGGGTGTGGACTCTATCTGCCTGCAAGAGGGTGACTCAAGTTGTCAAGGTAAATACACACAAAGCAAGTCAAGCCAAGGAAAAGTACAGCAACTTTACCTTGGCAGGCCCCAGCGACGGATGCAAGGAACAGCAGAGAAAAATTCTCGGGCCCCAACTAAGGCATGCAGACTCCCCGGGGTTTCCAATCAGCGGCCATAGGAGACATATCCTATGTCTATCCTCAGCAGCCAAGCAAGACTGAAGATCGGAATGGCCGAATATGGCATCCAGAGAGTAGATCAGACAGCCAATCAGGACCGCGATCTGGACAAAAAACTCAGCCACCAGTACCCGCGGTGTGGGAACCATCAGCACGCCCAGGTCTTGATTTTAGGCTTTAGCTCGCTGCTCGCCCGCTCTCTCGCTCCCTAAACTCCCCTAAGCTGCCCCTGTAAACTCTCCCCAGCCCTTCGGGCACTCGGCAAGCGAGCAGGTCCCACGAGTTTAAACCCGAACACTGATAAATCACAAGACAGACATTGCAATCCTAAAGGGCTGTTGGATGCATTGAAGGGCACACACACACACACACTTGATGTGAAAATTTTCATCCCTCCACGGTTCTGCTGGAACCGTTCCGTGCGTCCCTTTTCCCTCGTCTCGCGGCCCGGTGCTATCCAGCTGCCGTGGGATTAATCCGGAGTTTGGCGACCTCCGGAAGTTTTAGGTAGTGCTCCGTACTCCCCCGCCTGCTCTACTGAGGGAGTGACCTTCAACAACAGGTGCTTTCTGCCGCCATGAGGACCGGCTAATGGGTGAGAAATCAGCCCATGTATGGCGATCGCGAGAGCAAACTCAAAGAAGAAAAAGCAGCGCCGTCATGTGCGGGCAATATCGAATGCCTCTTTGCTTCTTTTCGCAATTGATCCGTCTCGTTTTCTCGTCTCCTTTCTTTCCCATTGCATCGTACGTTTTCTTCCAGAGCGCACACCCTCAGCGCCTGACATTGATGGACTCCTATGTACACCACGGGATACGATGCAGCAGGCAAGGAAACAAAGGCCTATTGGTGGGTTGTCTCCGAATTCACTAGCCGGACGTATACCATCGATCGATCTTGGGTGGGTGTAGAAGCGTCTGTCTTAGATGACAGTGGTCGCGGCCCTGCTGGATTGTTCTCGACATGCTAGTAGGGACTCTTGGGTGCATCGGCCCCTCTGCATCGGAATATCACATCTCCTCTGCATTCCCGGCTCTGTCAGATGGTAACAGCCGGGCTGTGCTTTGCACCTACCTGCCTCTTGTCTTATACATCTGTCTGTCTGTCTTGCAGTCCAGTTAGTCGCACAAACCACAACGGTAGGCGCCGTAACCACGTTGTTGGAAGCAAGCACGAGGTCTCTGCTCAGCTTGGGTCCACCTGCCGGCCCTGCCATCCTCCCCCACCACAAGCAACAATCGCATTGCGGACAGCAGCAGCAAACAATCAAGACCAGCTGAAGCTCGGCATGCTCTGGACCCCTAGGGTCGGACAATGGAACGGAAACGGGAATTCTAGGCCTTTGCCAGCTCGACCTCCCCATGCAGTGCCACTTTACCCCATCTCAACTGGCTGTGCATGGTCGCTTGCCAATGGTCTGTCTAATGTGCCAGCAGTGACAATGATTTAGCATTAATTATTCTCCTGCTGTACTACTGCCGGGTGTATGGGCAGGTCGGTAATCTATCTCGCTATAATGCACCTAACGTTAGTAGATCACCCTCCCTCCCTCCCTGCGAGACCGTCCGTGTTCCACCCCCCCCTCTCGGCGGTTCGCCGTGGAAAAATTCTCGACTTCGGAGCCGCCGCGCGCTGGTTACAAAGCCTCAGCTTCATAACACCAACACAGTTGTTTGAAAGCTGGAAGTCAGCTTCGCCCGGGCAATAGCCATCTCCAGCGGGACCCGAACACGCACCGAAGAAACAGCGAGAGCGCCTTGTTTCTCAGCGCTTACGCAAGCACCATGATGACCAGCACCGGCCGTTAGTGAGCAGAGCTGAACTTGCAATACTTGGTTTGCCGGGCCTGGTTCGGATTCGTATCTCAATTCGAGGGCCCTGTAAAGGCTGCAAAGGGTAAATCATTTCTCACTATGTACGCTTCGTCATTCATCCACCTCGTACTACCTTCCCACCGGTTGACAATTTTTTCCACCCCCACACACTTCCTGGCCCGCCGGAGTGGCAATACAACCCTCTAAGATCTCAAGGGGATGCCCCTTTTACGATATCTCGCGTCAATCTTTGGGTAGAATAGCATTACATTGGTGATCTGGCATTGGAGCCCGATGTTCTGCAGATTTGCCTAATCAGTCCGTACCGTATTCTGCAACGTAGCACCACGTATACTCTTCCATCTTTAAAGATGGAAGAGCCACAGTAATCCAGCCTTATTGATCCCTGGAGGGCGGCTGATCTGCCGCTTTCAATCTAAGCGCATGGGCCGCGTGTGGCTTGGATGCGAGCGAGCCTACCGCAAGCCCTTGCCACCCCCGCGGGAACCGCTGTTCGGATGTAGGCTGAGTCCCGTCCGCGAGTGTGGCGGACTTTGGCATCCTAGGACCCGAGCAGGCGGAATAGCGGAAAGCTTGGTCATGATTTTTAATAATGGGATTTCCATCGCTTCGGCCGTTTTTCCATGGCTTGCGTAAGGGTGCCGGGCTTGGTGATCTAATTGCCATCTTCAGACTCCAGGTGCAACCCACTTTGCCAATCGCCGTCCACAATACGAGCTTACCCTGGACTAGCCATCCATGTAAGCTTCGATAGCCTCATGTTTGTTTCTAGTAAAGAGCCGCCGTTGGTTGGTTCCAGGGTGCCGTGCTTGCGTACACCTTGGACGAATATTCTTCCCCATTGAGCCTCTGCGCTCTGGAGGGCGTGTGCCTAGAATCAAGCCCACCCACCCGGCTGGTAGATCCAAACCTTGAAGACAGATTGGCAGGAACTCCGCCACCGTTAACCATCACCCTGAGGCAGTCGGAGACATGGCCGAAGACCAATAGAGATAACCCCATTTCACCTTCCCAATACTATCCTGGTGGCTTACATCGGATCCGAAAGCCACAGCGACACATCTGAACCTGCAGAAAACCGGGGAGTTCAAAGACAATATTGCCAAATGGGTATCAGGAAAATAGGGACCGCAAAGGTGTTTCCATATCTCAACCTTTCAATACAGGCTGCAATATTCAGAGACAATCGGTAGTTTAGACCACTATTATTCGCCGTCCGGCATTTGCGGTTCCTGTTTTTCTGACAGCCACTGGGGTTGGTTCTTAGCAGGCATGGACCACGAGTCGCAACCTGAACGCCACCGGTCTCACACATACATGCTTGAGAAAGTCAGACACATGCATATTGTGGCTGCCTGTTGCGAGACACAAGGAAACGTGATCAATATAGTCCTATGGAGCCCACTGCCGCTCGGCTTTGTTCGGCCCCCGAAAGATGAGCTGAACGGTTCCTTCGTTAACTCAAGATACCATTGTCTGAAGGGGTTGGTTCGTGAACCACCCGCGCGGCCCATATACCTACCAGGAATGGCAAGTGATTACACGTCGAGTCATACGTTGAGTCTACTGGATGAGTCGAATTGACAATTACTTACCTAATAAAATTCTCACGCGCACGTTTAGTTGTGTGAACTACGGGGGGAGACGTGACCAGTAGAAACACCAGCATGAACGGGATCGCAGAGAATAACCTCCACGGCAAGTCAGACCATACAGCTGGCAGAAGCAGTCACCCCATAAGGTGAGACCGGGCTCGGAAAGGCCGGAGACAAGCCACAACACGTGCAATTCTAAAAGGAGCACATGAAGACATCTTGAGTAACATACACTGCATGGGAGCGCGCGTGCTTCACAATACGATGGTGAACGTTCAAGTTGATCATTTATGCCATTTGGCCATTTCAATTACCCCTAAATGCAGACCACCCGTTTCCCTTATGGTACAGAACACCCTAAAGCAAGACCAAATCCCATAGTCATCATGAAGTAACACCCTACTAAGGCCGCCGACACCATCGCATCCAAGATCGCGTGTGCGCGATACGTGTCGCGTTGGTGAGCACGCGTGTGCGAGGCGACGAGTTCATAAAAAGACATGCAATAAAAGAGCAAACACGCTTAACCACCGAAACCGTACAGGGTGCGGCCCTGTCGCTTCAGGGCGTAGACGACGTCAAGAGAGGTGACGGTCTTGCGCTTGGCGTGCTCAGTGTATGTGACGGCATCACGGATGACACCCTCGAGGAAGGTCTTCAGGACACCACGGGTCTCCTCGTAGATCACTGTGTCTAGGTTAGCGCTTGCTTGGACTTGGTCATCAATGAGAGGGTAACATACTGGCAGAGATACGCTTGACACCACCACGACGAGCGAGACGTCGGATAGCGGGCTTGGTAATACCCTGAATGTTGTCACGCAAAATCTTGCGATGACGCTTGGCACCGCCCTTGCCGAGACCCTTTCCGCCCTTGCCGCCTGTTGATGTATGTTAGCAACGCGTCTTTTCCCATCGAGTGAGCTCATCGAGGGCATCGAAGGCGGGGTGCGCCTTGTCAGCCATCAATGGCTTGGTAGGGATGAGACTTACGTCCAGTCATGTTGATAGGTGTGGTGGTATTAAAGTTGTGAAGGTTGTTGTGATGTGTGATGCAATGAAGCAGAGAGACGTTGTAGTTGTAGTGAGATGCAGGAGAGAGAAGTTGGGGGTGCGGGCGGGCTTAAGTAGAAGTGGGCCAAAATATCAGATCAGTTCAGCGAGCTTCGGCAAGGAAGCTGGAAGGCAAGGCAGAGAAGCAAAGGTGGGGGCCTTCCTCACGCGCGGCGCCAGACGCGATCATCCGCTTTGGGAAATAGTGGAGAGAAACTGGCAATCACAAAAAAACAATGGCTGCTGGTTATTTTTCAACGAATCAGAAAATTGAATTCCTTGGACCAGGGTGGGTTTACAGCCCAAACACATCACCCATTTACGCTCCGCAGGAAACCCAGCCGGTAGGGCCCAGTTTCCGTCTGGAGTTTGATGTTTTTGCCTTTGTATGTGCTCTATACCCAAACATGAGTCTGCCAGGCAGCCTGACTGGATCTACCTAGCACATGCCCACCCAGATATCTGGAGTCTGCATAGTTCCCACCTATGGCTTGGTGTTCTCAACCCCATGCGCTTGTTATTTTCATATCTGGTAGTGTGACTCACCCCGACACAAGAGTTCAAGTCGTTGGCTGCCAATTTTGCCTACCCTATCGCCGATGATGTGATTCTCTTTGCCCACTCCAGCGCGTATGCAGTGCCCCGATAAATAATATTTCTTGTGCATGATAGTGTAGTCAGTTGTACTGCTTGTATTTCCCTACTTTGTTGATTGTATTGTATTCCCTTGTTGCGTTGGTGGTGTAATAGAACAGCTCACCGACACTCGTCAATGTGAAACAAGTATGCACACAACAGCATCTTCAGTAACTTCATGACAAGGAGATGTCCAAGAGACAAGCTAGACCGAAACCACCGGAGTTACTAGTATCATAAGGTTCCGCTACGCAGTAGCTTTCAATATTATGCCATTGCATCGAATGCACAAGCTTAGACGTGTGGCGATCAGAGATTTGAACATTGCCATTATGATCACGGCTGTTCGGTTGGTATGGGTACATCTAGAAAATCGGCAGTGGGAGGCGCCGATGCAGCCAATCAAAAATCGGGATCTGACGTGAACCACATATTGCCATTTTCGGATCAAATGGGATTTTGGGTTCAGCTGGCGCGTGCTGCAGGGGAAAATGTAAAGCCTGTAGCGCACCAAAATTCACGGCTTTAGTGGGCGTAAGTTTTTTCTGGCAGCGCCTGAGACTCGGAGGGGCGCCCCGCCTCTCTCAACGCGATCCACCCCTGCACCTTCCTCCCTTTTTTTTCTAGGCTTACGCGCTCGAAATCACTTTACTGATCTGACGCACGGACCCGGCGCGCGCCCAGATCAGTTGCACCCAAATCACACAGCCTAGCACGAGAGGTATTAAAGCCGTCCCCCGCCCTCCCCTCTCAGCCAACTTCTCTCCTGCATCACACACCCACATCTCTCACACATACCCCACTTCTTCCATCAACAACAACCACACTTCCATCAATCCATCATCAACAATCGCAGCAATGGCTCGCACAAAGCAGACTGCTCGCAAGTCCACTGGTGGCAAGGCCCCTCGTAAGCAGCTGGCCTCCAAGGCTGGTAAGTGATCGCATCCTCATCTTCGCGCCTCATGATCATCACTAACGCGCTTCCTCCACAGCCCGCAAGAGCGCCCCCTCCACCGGAGGTGTCAAGAAGCCTCACCGTTATAAGCCCGGTACCGTCGCTCTCCGTGAGATTCGTCGCTACCAGAAGTCGACTGAGCTTCTCATCCGCAAGCTCCCCTTCCAGCGTCTCGTAAGTTGCCACAACATCATCGTCGCCATGTCATCAACATCATTCTAACACATTATCAACAGGTCCGTGAGATTGCCCAGGACTTCAAGAGCGACCTTCGCTTCCAGTCCTCTGCCATCGGTGCTCTCCAGGAGTCCGTCGAGTCTTACCTCGTCTCCCTCTTCGAGGACACCAACCTGTGCGCCATCCACGCCAAGCGTGTCACCATCCAGTCCAAGGACATCCAGCTCGCCCGCCGCCTCCGCGGTGAGCGCAACTAAGCTGGCTGCCATTTGGCAGGGTTGACACTTTCTGGCGGTTCATGACTTTTGCTTTGACACGATGGAACTCATGGTTTAGGGGGTTAATTATGGCGTTACAATGAGAAACTTGGTTTTGCTCTACACAGTTGGGATGTACTATACCGCAGTAAACGAGACTGCACTAAATTCAACAGGCGAATGCCTTCTTAACACTCAATTATTCCGTGAGACCACCAGTGCATGCTTGGCCAGAAGTGTAATTACCAGGCGCGACCGCGTTCACACTAGATAGATAAGAATCCCAGTCACATCAACAACGAGTCGCGTGAATGGCAAACGATATAAAGTGATGAGGTGCATGGCTTGTGACGCGATGGTGATGAGTCCGTGGGTGGAGACGTGATTGATGATCCATATCGTGCTTCGGGTCGCGTCTCTTTGATTAGGAACTGATCATAGTGACTCGATTCGACTTGGCTGTGATTGCACGACGTTTGATGGATTTCAAGTGTTCTCTTAAGAGAATGTGCTTTAACATGGTGGTAACTGCAGGACCAAGAATATTGGCTCTTGGATATCTGTTATTTGCGCTCAAGAGTATAATGCTACTGGTCCTAGGCTCGAAAATAAAGAATCAACTTCAATGACTCGGTTGGGTGATTTCTATTGCTGTCGCACTAAATGATCTGACTGTTCTATGTGCGAACCGGTGACTTTGTGCTTCCGCTTGTGCGAGACTGTGCTTCCACGACCTCGGAGTGCGGAGGCTGGAGATACTGCCGAGCACGCATCGAGTCATCCGGCATTGTAGACGACTGGCATCGCCGCGGTGGATGGCCTAGGTGAACTTGCGCATCACGTATTGATTGCTGGCATCGAGCAGCGCTGCCTCAAGGCTGCCGCTTTCGCTTCCCTTCGTGCCTCGTGACTCATTTGTTGGGGAGGGCCTTCCTACGAGCCTGGAGCGAACTCATATTGTTGGGCTTATGATCAGATGACGATCCGGACAGTCAGCGCTGGCGATTAATGCACGGGTCGTAAAGAGTTTATTCTACGGTGGCACGGCAGAGGCAATACGCGTGTGGTATTATTGTATTCTAGCGAGCTATTTTACTCAAGGTTATCGTCGGTTGGAGATCAGCATGTGACATTTGAAGATTTGTGCCGCTTGGCTGTCTCGGAGGACGAGTGCGGGGGGACCAATCGCAGAAGCGGGAGTCGAGGATCAGGCCCTTGGAAAATCGAAGATGATTAATTTTTTCTTTAGCCCATGACGAGAAAAAGCCGAGAAGATCACGAGGTCGCGGGAAGGCCATCTTGGGGGGCCGTAGGTTCTGGGTGTGTGCCTGTGTGGCTGTGCGACATCTTCGTCGCTTTAGGCTTCAATCTAAACTAAGCGAATCGCCCAATCGCCAGGGCCGGGAAAGTATGACTCAACTCACACGCCCTCCCCGTCCAAGATCTCTGGCAGCAGCAAGGGGTCCCTGATGAGGCGCGCCATGTCGTCGTCGCAGATATTGATGGAGACGTCGACGCCGTGACGAGTCCACGAGCGCCCGGCCGCCGTGTCCGGGACCGAGTCTGCCTGCCACGATGGCGGTGCCTCCTTGATCAACACGTCGCCATCCAGCTCGGGAATGATCCCGTCAGCGTAGACCACCCTGGATCCGAGTCCGAAGTCGACATCGTAGAGCCCGGCGCGCGCCCACGTCGTCACCAGGATGTGACGCCTGCCCAGGAATGCCTGCCAGATCCGCTGGGGAGACTTCTCGTACGCCACCGTGTGCAGGTGCGCTGCGACGGCCTCTGTCCGGCTCATCCTGTCCAGCGTTTTTCGGATGCCCCGGGCGAGGGGTGCGAGTGCCATCGCCACTCCTCCCTCTGCATCCGGTGCACTCGAGGCAGAAACCACGGCGCCGGATAGCTCGGTGCTCACCATGATGATGGGCGAGCCCAGGAACGATTCGCCGAGCTTGAGGACGGGACGGAGGCCGTACGCGAGGTCGCAGTACACTGGGTCGGTGTCGTGCTGGAAATTGCGAGCCCGCGTGATGCATGACCAGATATGAGCCAGTACCGCGTCATGGCGACTGGTCCGGGGCGATGGTGGCGACGAGGAAGGGGACGAGCGGTCGCTGGTGCCTGATGATTGCTTCCAGAGGTGTTCGATTTGGTCATGGGTCAAATGGATTGTATAGTGGGAGACATGCTGCTTGACATCCCATTCAGACCACGGCATGGCTTTTCCTGCTGGCGGGAGACTGCTCTCACCAGTTGAGTTTTCGAGGAACACGCTAGGTGTCTCTAGGGGCCACGGAGCACCCTCTGAGGATGCCCACCAGTCATATCTGTGAAGGGGTAATTCTCTCGTTTGCTCAACGAGATTGTTGTCTGGTTGATCAGCGTCGATGTCGCCCGCAGCATGCGAATCAACCAGTGCAGGGTCAAATACTGGGTTTAAACCAGGCTCAGGGCTTCCCGCAAGTCTTGCGCTGCTGACTATGGACCAGTCTTTGATCAGTTGGACAAGTGAAGTGATATCTGCTAGCGGATGCGTGATCTTTGCTGCGACAACGAACCCGCCGCAAGCCAACTCAGTGAGCTGGATGGCCAGCAGCGGCTCGAGGAGGCCGTCTTGACCTGGACTTTTGGGGCTGCTCGACGGGCTGGCAATCTTGGTTTGTGGGATGAAGGCCTTGAGCGATACCCCTTGCCGGTCCCAGATCGGTTGCTTCGCTGTGCGCGACTCCGGGTAGAGCATGCCCAGAGTGGCAGGGCTCCTACAGGAGATGAACTCGACGCCTGGATCATCCTCGGTGCCATAGTGTGCATACACTCGACCGAATCTGCGGGCATGGGGAGAGAAGTGCTTGGCCGCCTCCTCCACTTTGCCATCGATGGTCCCGACTATCTTTAGGTGGCCACACCACTGGGGATAAGCATCCAGAGTGGCACTGAGGGACTGTTGGAGATGGTCGCGAAGGCAGAAATCGGAAGTACCTTCTCCAGCCCCGAGGTCTACCTTCTCAAAAAGCCACAGAGCGTTCGTGAGGGCAAAGTTGACGGTGGTTGCATCGAGAAGAGACAACGGTATTGCGTTCTCGGTTTTCTGTCTTCTCTGTGGGAAGACTCGTTCCTTGCGAAAAGCTGAGGGCTCAAGGTTAGTTGACATGATGCTTTCTCTCACTCAAATTTCCAAGTCGGTAGCGAAGAGAAAGCAACAGCAAACGATCGTTGAGGTTGGTTGTGTCTTATATCAAAGTTTCGTGGGCGAGGCCAAGCTCTAGGGTAATGCGGAGCACTGAGCCCGATTCGGCACGCCGAACAGAAGATGGATGAGTCGAAATGAGCACGGCTGGTATTATTCGCTCAACGTAGTACCCAGTCCTGGCCATGATGCTTGGCAAACTTGATGAAGAGATTTCCATACATTGCAGGCTAGCGCTGCGGTCAAACCACACCATGTAACATATCCCCGAACACATTGGTAGAGTTAGCTTAAAAGGATGTAAAACCGTATTGTGGGAATAGTCTTTTGAAAGGTCTGGTAATCATCAGCACTACTAATTCCCATTAGTTGATAACTAGATCTCGAAACATAACCCAAATTCTTATGTAGCCTTGGACTGGGAGCTGACAGGTCAGAGTACAAAATCACAGTGTTTGTTTGGCATACACAAGCAAATATGCAAATTAACTTTTGATTTGGCGCTCAAGATATAAGTAAAAAACTGACAAATATATGAAGATCTAACCTTTACCCAAACAAGTGCAGAGCTCCTATACACACACCACATGGCCTTTCCTTAAACTACAATCCTAAGCAGACACCTCGCTGTACTGTGTTGGGAGCTGAGTCAACACGTCAAAGCCTCCAGTACCAACCTTGCCCAGACTACCCATAACCAATCTACTACTGGGTGTGATCAAGTCGTCCCAGTCTCCATCCAGCACGGAATCCTTGAGGACAGACAAGGTTGTCTCGAAACTCATCTTCGTGAACGGGCTGACGTTACCCTTGAGTCCCATTCGGTTGAACGGAGTGAAGTCGCCGTTGCGAGTCATGAAGTCGGCAATCAGGTTCAGATGTCTGTTGTCTACCTTGATACCGTGACCACCGAAAACCCCAGACAACTCGGCCACGATGGTGCTGCGGCCAGCCTCCACGCCGTACACGTCGAGCATAGCGGCGATATCGTTGGTCGAGATGCGGTTGGGGTCAATGAAGTCGCTGTACTTTTGCATGGCGTTCAAGTTCACACCCTCTGTATGGACCATGAATGCACCTTGTTGGCTCACTTCGAAAGTGCAGGTTCCGACACTGGGAATCTGCTGAATCACTGCCTTCTTCACCGCATCCTGCACAATGTTAAGCATCAGGATCTTGGGGGTGACAGCATCGAACTCGAGTGTCACGTTGCACCAAGCACCCTTCGACTCGTCGCATATAAACTCCGTGACTTCGGCATATGCGTCCAACACGCGCTCGGAACGAGCCTGAGCCAATGCGGATGTAGAGTTTCCGTCATCGTCATCCTCGCTATCATCTTCTTCCTGGTTGGACCGGCGCTTTTGAGGCGGTGGGCTCCCTCCAATACCCTCGTCTTCGTCCATGTCATCTGCCGTTTCCTTGTCCATCGATTTCTGAACAGCATCGTCCTCGTCATCGTTGGGGCCGTATGACACAGCTTCATCCCTGTTGGCGCGCTGCTTGGCATTGGTGGCATCATCATCGTCGTCGTCGTCATCGTCGTCCTCGCCACGGGCTCTCCTACTGGTCGGGGCTGCCGTCTCAACCACACCAACCTTGACGCCGATCTCAGGTGTTGCCATGGTGGCTTTATCAACTCGCTTCTTGATTTCCTTCTTTGTGACGGTCAGGATAAGACGCAGAAGCTTCTTCTCAACAGTGCTCAATACATCCTCGACACTAATTGCGTAGGTCTTCATGTACTCTGCCGAGGGGAAGAATTTGAAACTAATCTGATACATCTTGGCTGAGCCGTAGATCTTGCCTCGTCCCACCTTCTCTTGAACAGACACGGCATCCACGATATAGCTCAGAGGAAGAATGCTGATCGATTTGGCGAATATTTCAGAGTCTTCCCTGGAGAGCTCTTTGATGGGGTACAGGGTCATCGCTGGTGTTGAAATGGCTCGACTGGCCGTCATCAAGATTTCACGAAGACGAGGAATACCCAGAGTAACGTTCTTCGCCGAGTGACCAGCCAAATGGAATGTATTCAGCGTCATCTGCGTGGAAGGTTCACCGACAGACTGTCCTGCGACAATACCCACAGCCTCTCCTGGCTCGACAAGGGATTGGAGATATTTCATCGAGAATAGCATCTCGGCATTCTTCCTGTTCAGAGACGAAGCACCCTTCTGAGACTTGTTGCCCTTTTCTCTCACAAGACCCTCTGGATTCTTGTCCAAGTACTCTGACATGCTCTTGTAGAATGTTTCCGACGTGGCGAAGGCATTTGTGGCTGGGTTGTACATATTAAGTAAAGGATCCCTGACATTTGGGTCACGAGGATCACTATGCTTGATAGCCTTCTTCATGTGCTTCGTGATGGCGCTGCGGTTGCCGCTCAAGAGGTCGCCAATTTCCTGGGAGTACCTGAGCTGCGCCGCCTCGGACTGGACGTTTTGCAGTACAAAACTGAAGTCTGACAGATACTTTTCTTTGGAAACATCGAGGCCATCCTCTCCGTACAGGAATTGAATAATGGATCCATCTGCATCTCGGACCGTAGTATCGTAACCTACAGTCAGTCCTTCCATTCCCTTGATAACACAACGTTGGAGATAACCAGAGCGAGAGGTTTTGACGGCCGTGTCGATAAGACCCTCTCGTCCGGCCATGTGATGGAAGTAGTATTCCTGAGGCCTGAGACCTGTAAGGAAACGACTGATGATGTAGCCTCCAGCTACGGCGTAGGTCTCGAAAGGCTTGAAGCAAGGTAGGGACTTGCCGCTTACCATCAACGGCACACGACGACCTTCCAAAACCTGCTGACCAAGGTTACATGAGATCAAAGATGCATTGACTCTGGAGCCCTTGGCACCGGAGGTAGTCATGGCCTGCATCTGGTTTTTAGGGAAAGGCTTCTCAAGACCATTAGACATGACGGCTTTCTCAACGCCGGATGTGATCTCGGCGAGTCTCGATTTCATGAGGAGATCAAGGCCTTCTTGCTTGCTGTCATCACGAACCACTTCCTCAAGGCGCTCCAGCAGCAATGGATCCTGGTCACTTGAGCAGCTGTCAATAGAAACATACTCGGAAGCAACCTCGAGACCGACGCCCTTCGCTCCGGCAAGCTGTTCAAGACGCGCCTTCTCACCGTAGGGTGTAAGTTTCAGGTCGTCCATGCCACAAGAGAAAGCCCTCATGTTGAGATATCTGGTCAGTAAGCGGCCGAGGCTGCTCAGGAGTTTCCCAGCAATTGCAGGGCCATAAATTTCGTGGATCGAGTGAATTAACCCTCCTGAACTGGGACCGATTTGTGATTTATCCAAAATACCGGTGATTAACTCGCCATCCTGGAATAGGACAGTTCCCTCCTCTGAATTCTTGGCCCACTGGTCAGCCTTGAGTTGAGTTGAGCCTTTCATGAAAAGGCCACCACAGTTAAGCGGTTGGATGTTCTTGAGAATGGTTGTCAGGACCTGCTTTCCTGTCCATCGAGGAACAGGTTTGATCACGGCGGGAGGCACCAATTTAAGCCTCTCCCCTAAGATATGGCCGCTTTCAGGGCGTAGGGCACTGTAGACGAGTTGTTGATAGTCGCTGCGAGTGAAGAAAGTGTCACGACTGCACAAGTGAACTGAGACGGAAATATGATCCTGAATCAAACCTCGGAGTGGCTTGCCAGCGGTGGCGGAGAGATACTGGTGATCTGTATCGGTAATCTGCAAGGCTTCTGCGCGTGCGACTTCATTTTGTGGGAAATGCATGTTCATTTCATCACCATCGAAATCGGCGTTGTAAGTGTTACAGTTGGCATAGTGCATGCGGATAGTCTTTTCACCAGGAAGAACTCTGACTCGGTGACCCATGATCGAAGGTTTATGCAGTGTCGGCTGTCGGTTCATCAACACAACATCACCGTTCGTGAGATGGCGGTGGACCTTCTTGTTCTTCGTCTTCGCTGCAACATTGCTTGATGGCGCGAGAAGCTGGTTTGCTAGTGAAATTCGATCATCAACGGACTTATTTCGCAGATTGACGATTTGGCCATTCTCATTCTCAATAGCGAAGGCACCAGGCCACTTGTCGACACCGTTGATAACCGCCTGTTGCATATCACGGAAGTTATGGCTGGTAACAGGCTCGGGGTATGTCAATTTCTTGGCGAAAACCGGTGGAACACCAATCTCGTTAGTCTCGATGTTCGGATCGGGCGAGATGACACTGCGGGCAGCGTAGTTGACTCGCTTGCCCATCATGTTCTTTCGGAACAGGCCCTCCTTCTTCTCGAGCTTCTGCTTGATGCCGTCTTCGTTCCGAGCGGCAGCAGCTCCCTGCACGGGGTTCTTGTCCTTGTCGATCAATGAATTGACGAACTCTTGCAAGTCAGCGCACGCTTGGTGCAGCTGGTTGATATCTCCTCGGCCTTCGCTAAGTCCATTATGGATGCGCGCGATGGTACTGCAGCCTCTGAGGATGTTCTTATAGAGCGAGTTTTGCTGGGCTTCAGCGATGGACGAGTCGCCAGTGCGAGCCTCGGGTCGGAATCGGTTGGGAGGAACAAGAAGATATGTTAGGAAGAACATGTCGGGAGTTACCCTGGGGGAGCTACGAGTGGCAGGCTTCGAGTTGTAGACGAGGAAGAGCAGCTCTTGTTCCTTCTCGAACAGCTCCTCCAGTCGAGCTCGGATCTCCATGGGACTGATGTAGCGTTGTGAAGATGCGACCTGGTAGTCCTCGACGTCAGCCATCTCGATGTCCTGATCCTCAGTTGCCTCCTGAGACTCTGGCTTCTCTGCTGTGGGAGATTCGATATCCGCGACGCCCTCGTCGGAGCTGTATCCGTTGGGCTTCGTAGTTGCTCGCCTTTGGTATACTCGTGCCATCGCGTCAGTCCGCTTCATGCTTTTCTGCGCCATCTTGGCCTTGTCCTTATCCGAGAGGGGGTTTTCGAAGATTTTTACGAAGCGATCTTTTCGGTAAGCTGGGCTAATACCGCCACAGCTGGCGCATGCCCGCTTTGGACCAAGATCTTTGAAGAAATCTTTGAGCACTTCTCTTCGTAGTTCTGTTGCACCTTCATGCTTCCCTCTTCTGGTCTCTCCCCTCTTTGTTTTTCCATTGCGGAGGCAGTCTCGGACAAAGGCCTCTCTTGCACGAGTGACGCCGTCGATGGATGAGTTGCCCTCCTCCTCGGCCTCGCTGTCGCCGGCAACACCTTCAATGGCTAATTCGTTCTCTCCAACCGAGTCGATTTCGTGGGCCTCATGGATGAAGCCATGCTGTAACAGCCGGAGCTTGCAGACGTACTTGTGCAGATCCTTCTGAGGCAGTCTGAATCCCTTGCAGTACACGCATGCAGCTCGTAGGAGTCGATAGGCTTGATCTAAGAACACAGGGTGATATACGGGAACAGGGAGCTGAATGTGGCCTGGATGGCCTGGGCAATTGGCCTGCGTGAGGTTGCAGGTTGTGCAACTATAGATACAGGTCTTGATTAGCAATGCGATTCCCAGGTCACATCCGAATCTGCAAAACCCACGGTGAATCGCCCCAGGAACCAAGGGCAGTGTCATATAGACCTCCGGGAACCGGATTTAAAAGGTTATCAAATGTGCTGTCATTCTCAATCCTCTTGACTGAGATAGCTTTGATCTCTTTCGGCGAGAGAAATGTGAACTCAACGCTTTCAACGCTCGAGGTGACGGGCTGTGCGATATTCATGGTGGCGGCGACGGTCCAATTGAAGACCGTGAGTAATTACTCAGAGGTGAAAGGTATTCACAGCTCTCTTGAGCCCATAATATCGGGAACCTTAACGAAGCGCAAACGTAAAGAAGCTGGCGAATTGAAGATGGTGGGGGCAGAGGTACAAAGATTCTCAGCGTGCTCAGAGAGGCCGAACAAATTTTTGGCGGTGCGGGATGGCAGAATTTTCCGCCGCCTTGGGCGGAACGACTGTCGCGAGGTGGGCCTCCTGCCTGTTGTTACGTGTGGATCTCTCTCCAGACGCTGCATCAACCCAACGAAAATTGAAAACAGCTACTGTCTCTCCAACTACAGGTGACGGAGAGTACAATAATCTCACGATTTACGAAAACTCCTGCGACAGGCCTACCCCCCTTTCCCGGCACACGCGATACCCTACTAAAGCGCCTGCGCCAGGACCAAAGTTTGGCGACAGCTCTGGCAAAACGAGTATCATCTATTTCATCGCTTTCTTGATGAGGGAGCTTTATCTTGAGTTACCAGCAGCTTAAGATGGATCGCTCTTCAGGGAGCGGCCTTGGGCCTCGTCATGATTCATCATCGCGCATTCAGAAACCCGAGTCTGCGGCCGACAAGATGGCAGCTCTCAAGGCACGTGTGGCTGCTGCGATCGGAACCAGCAAAGCAAAGGGTGGTCTGAATGTCGGTCTGCATCCTGCCCTAGAAGATTTGGGGTCATGGAAACCTCCCAGCAAAAACAAAGACGCTGGACAGACGCAAAACCAAGCACAATCTGACTCCAGGCGATTCACTCCTGGTTCTCAATCCAGGGGTCCTCCTTCGAGTGACCGTCATGGGCAGAGCAACCCTTACTTTGATGAATCGACGGCCTCACAGGAAACTGGAGGCCGACAGAGGCATTCACGTCAGCTGATCTTCAACCAAAAGGGAAAATACATTCAGCAGGCCAATGCTTTGCGACGACAGGCAGCGATGGAGGCCATGAAGAAGAAGATTGCAGAGCAGACCCGCCGAGCTGGTATCGAGGACGACCTGGATGTAGAAAAGAATTTTGTAGTAGATGCCCCCCCCGAGCTGGAATGGTGGGATGAGGGGATAATAGATGGGTCCAACTACAACGACATTGAGGACTCGTCGAAACTCAAACTCACAACGCCGGACAGCATCATCACCGAATACATCCAGCATCCCGTCGCCCTCGAACCGCCACAAGATCGCCAAGCACCACCACCAAAGGCTATGTACCTAACTTCGAAGGAACAAGCCAAGATCCGTCGACAACGCAGAATGGCAGAGCTCAAGGAGATGCAAGCCAAGATTCGTCTTGGACTGGTTCCTGCGCCGCCACCAAAGGTCAAGAAAGGCAATCTTATGCGAGTGCTTGGAGATGGTAAGTCATATGTTCACCTGTTACTTCATTTCTCCTGGGCTAGCACATCCACACTGTCTTTTTTGACACTGCTTTCGATTATTTCTGTTTCAATACAAGTTTACTAATTGGTTGTTTTCTACCAGTTGCTGTCAAGGACCCCACGGCCGTCGAACTACGGGTTAACCGAGAAATCGCCGAACGTCACCAAAAGCACGTTGACGAGAACGAAGAGCGAAAGCTCACGAAAGACCAGAGACATGAGAAGCTTGCCGATCAGCAGAAGAGGGATGCCGACAAGGGAATACATGTGGTGGTTTTCAAGATCAACAGTCTCGCCAATGGCCAACACCGTTACAAGATTGGTGTTAATGCTGAGCAGCTATCGCTTACGGGATCGTGCATAATGCACCCCAAGTTCAACCTAATTGTTGTTGAAGGCGGCGAGCGCGCTGTGAACAAGTACAAGAAGTTGATGCTCAATCGCATTGATTGGACGGAGAACACCCCATCTAGGAGCAAGGAAGACCGTTCAGGCAAAGTACGAGATTGGCTTTTAGCAGAGAACGAGAAAGGGGAACTCAAGGACATGTCACTCAACGAGTGCAAGTTGGTGTTTGAGGGCGAGCAAAAGACTCGGGGGTTCCGAAAATGGGGGAGCAAGGTGTGTGAGACGGATGCAGAGGCACGGGACACACTCTCACGAGCCAAAATGGAAAACTTTTGGTCTTTGGCCAAAGGAATGGCCTAGTTCCAGAGGCCAAATGCTTCCCCATGGCAAGAGGCGATGGCACGGGGTCCCCTTATTACCATTAGAAATGTTGACCGTGGTTCGTACAGATTTGCCTTTGCTCAGGTTAGATTGTTTCACACCGACACAAGAAGGAGGAACGAGATATGACCAGTCTCTTCCGGTTAGTTGTGGAACAATGCAGACCTACTTCACATCTTTAGTGTCAGATCTTTTCTTATTCCTTCTCTTGTCGGCGTTCTACCAGTCTGGAATGCCGTGGATCGTCTGATCCCCTGGCAATTGAGGCAGTGTGGCTCGGCCCGCTCAACACAAACGAATGTTTGAAGCTACTATGAATAATAATGACAAAGCACGGGGTTTTCCCAACATTCGCGGACCATTGGATGCTTGCTTGCAGGGCCCTCCCAGGGAGCCCGAAGACTCGTACGAGATGAGTCCTGGTTGACCCGGCTGGTTTCTTTTTCCCGGCCCAAACCCTACCTGCCTAGGTAATTAATAGTGCTATATCCACTCCTCCCCACAGAGTCAAACGCGTGGCAAGCATCCTCAACCCAACCCCATGGCCCTGCTCGAATTGATCTCCAGAAACAGTGACGTGCGTGCTATTTGATCATTCCTGGCTGGCTGGGGTCATGGCTGGCCTAAACGGATATCCGAGATCTCCAAAGACTAGGGCAACCCGGACCTCCTGGAGCCGCACTGTGGTATGGTCTCCCCTCATACTTGCTCAGTGGCGCGCATGCTCACCACCAGCAGGGCTGTTGAGATTGTTGCCGTTCGGAAGGAAGAAGGCGACGGCACATGTACGCCATCCAGCTACTAGTCTGACTTGACAACTCGTATTTTTCCCGGCTGAGGGAATGATCAAGATGCGCGTCCGGACTAGTGATGGCGATGGCGCTAATCCAGCATCTCCCCTCGTCGGGTAGTTTCCTCACCTTATTGTCTTGCGCTGGGCTGGCGAACTGAGGTTCTACTCACAAGGGAGGGGGGGTGCATAAATGGAAGGACTAGCGAAGAGACGAGCGGGTTTGCATCATCTGTATTGAAGTGGGAGATCTAAGCAGACTCGAGTCAGGTTGACCCAGGCTGTGCATAGCAAGAGGAGCACGTCTGAGTAGGTGCATATTCTCGTCACACTTACCAGCATGTACCCACGACCAAAGTCCTCACATTACAACGAGGTTCAATCTGTCCCACCTACCCACCTGTCAACTAACTACTTACCATACTATTCGGTCGGGTGCATAACCACCAAACCGAATAGAGGTCGAAGCCGAAGATGTGTACAGGGTAGGGCATGGAGCTAACTACACCCGTCAACTCACCAGCAACCAAGGCAAACTTGTAAGTTGCTGCTTGCCTATATCTTAACTTACCTAGGTAGGTGTTAAACGAGCCGAAGACGAGCTTCCGTAGTGGAGCTTTGGGGCACTTGACACTTGACACGGAATAGGATCGCCCGCGTCCCCGAGATGGATGATGAATGCTTGCTCTGGCTAGCTGCTCAAAGTGCTTCCTCACGGTATGTACCGTCCCTTGGCTGGGTGATGGGCCTGATGTGATGGCCCACGCCCTCCCCTGCTTAGCCCTACCTGACGGACTACCTTGGCGTCGTACCTCATGTGGTACAAACCACCCCAGAGCCCTGTGACAGGCGCGACACATGTAAGCCCGCCGAACCTCGCAGTGTGGCCCTCTTTAACGGCTGCTCCTGTTGGCTGGCTCGCTACTAACGTACCCAAAATAAGATACAGTGCTCCCGCACGGTACGTCCGCTGGCGGTACTTTGGCCCGAGGGGGACTGTCATGTACTGCCGCACTAAAATACACTACACGATGCGATGCGATGCAATGCACGCTCCAATGCCTGCCATTGGATACCCGAAGTGCAGGTAATGAAGAGTGATTTTCACGATACCTGACGCCTCTTAGATTGAAGAAGATGGGCAGCAGCCCGTGCGGCCCCGGCCTCTCATTTAGACCCCAGACCGTGGACGGGGCAGCCAAGTCAAGCAGATGCCTGCCATCCAACGCCCTGGGAACTGTCTCGGCCATCTGTCTGCTGCTGCCCGTGGTGGTTGGTTTTTGCCTCCTGTCAAAACGTGCTTCTGCTGCAGCATGCCGCCCCTGTCCCACGGAATGGGAACCTTCCAGCTTTCCAATGCGGTGCAACGCAACGGCCTTGGGTCTCTGCCTGCCTTGCCACCCACCAGCCATCATCCTGCCTGCCCTGTCCGCCCGGGCCTGGGAGACGGACTTGGGTTTGGCAGCCATTTCTTTTCTACTCGTTATTCCCATCCCATCCCCCATCCCACATTGTCCCGTGAATCAAACCTTATTATAGCCCCCCCGGCTTGCTCACTCCTCGGAAGATGGGGAAGAAAAAGCAGCATGAAGATGTATTAGAAAGGAAAGATTGGGCCTTTTAGTCTTGCCCTTTCGGTGGCGGCCGCCCCTGGGTCCATCAGCGCCAAGGAATCACCCAAGGGCATTTTATGTGACCGTTCTGATCATGAAACGATTTCGGGTCCCCGATCTGTCAAATTCTCCTGCTGGCCCGGCCTCGCAGCTGGCCTCCCGGCACGCTGAGCCAATCTGAGCGAACCGCCCCCAAGCCAATCCTGCCATTGTTACTTCTGGATATTTGTCCCTTGTGAGTCACCGCCCAATTGGATGACCACCGTCATCAAGAGAGGGTTTCCTTGCCTCTGGCCCCCAAACATGCGCGCAGCGTAATAGGATGGATGCGACCCTGTTATTATAACATCGCGCGAGACACTGGGCCCCCCAGGTCCCCTTATGCAGCGGGAGGGAGGCTTAGACGGCACAAGATATAGTAGCCACTCGTCATGGGCGGCATATATTCAACTGCAAACAGAATGATTAATATACGAGACACACCCCCCGGTTTCAACTCCCAGGCAGCAAGCAGGCATGGGGATAGAAGCCTAGCTGGGTTCATCCATGCATCTAACACCAAGATGCTACCCAAATCTTTCGCACAGCTTTCTCTTTCCTTTTGCTCCAAATCAATAAGTGTGATAAATTTTATGTGGCAGACGGCATCCCATGCTATCCATCTAGTGCCGTGTAGAATCCCTTCTAGGTCCATCGCTTTCTATCTTCCCAATAAAATAATGTACAAGGCAGAATGACTGCCCGATCCGTTTCCTTCATGCCCGCTTCGATAACGTCGTTGATTAACCGCGCTGTAATCCAAATGGCCTGCTTGTGAACTAGGAAAGTCCTAATGCTGCCCCTAAATCAACAATACCCAAAACCCAAAAAAAACCGACGTAATATCCAAAAATGACAGCTGTATAGGACTGCGGGGGAAACCACATCCATCCATCCATCCATTGCAATGTCATCTTTTACTCCTCCAAGGTCGTCACACATATAGAGGAGAGACCGGCTCCCCAAATCGCTGAATAGTAATAATAAAAATCTATACCCTCATCATATCGATGGATATCTTTCCCGGGATCCTCTAAACGCCGTTGGAAATGCTCAAAGCTGAGTTCCGGATCTCTTGTGTCCCAAGGCATGCAAATACATATCGTTTGAAATGGGAGTCATTAACGCCAATTGTCGACCCGCGACGTGAGCGTATGTGTGGGCATGGCTAGTATTCTGTTGTCATCCGGACCGGTGGTGATGGGGTTTGCGGACATTGGAGGTCTGAGAGTTGTGCCAAGGTTTTGGATCTCCCTTGGCCTCGGCACTTCCGGTAGTTTTGCTGATTCAAGCTCTTCGTATTCCTCTGCATCCAGCATGCCGATTTCAAATCGCTTTGAGCAGCCGTCCTCCATATGCCTGTTCTATGTTAGCATTCGAGTGATATAGAACAATGGACCCCCAACACATCAAATTGTAATATAGGGGGGTGCTGAACTGTACTCACCTTCGGAGGGTGTCTTTTCGAGCGAACATGCGCCCACAGAAATCACACTTGTGATTGCGTTCCTTAGTGTGAACGCTCTGATGGTGTCTCTGTAGATCGGTCTTCCGCACAAACTTTTTGGAGCAGTTTGGCTCCTTACATGGAAACGGGTATTCTCGCTTCTCATCATGGGTCTCTAAGTGCGACTTAAAGTTATAACTGCGACTGAAAAACTTTCCACATCCATCGATCGTGCACTGATAATTGGCCTCCTCCTTTGTGGTATGCTTCCTTGTCGGCCTTTTCTTTCTCCTCAACCTAGTCCATGTTTGGCCACGGTCGGAGGAGTTCACGAGTATCTGTGATGCGCTTGAGGGACCCCCTATGGTGGTGGCTGTTGCTGATAGAGGAAGTTGACCTGGCGGGAGGCCATTGTGTGTTTGCGGGGGCTGGAGGTGAGTAGAATGTGGTGTCTGGAAGCCTTCGCCCAAGTACATCGGCGTATTTGTGTTGAAAGATGTCCTGGATGGCAGCTGCGTTGAGGCGTCATACTGAGGTGCGTTGACGATGCCCCCATATGACAGTGCGCTATTCACCTTTGATTTGGAAACCATGGCCTGCTCTCTCGAAAATACAAACGAGCTCGTTGAGGAGAGCGAGGACCTATCTCTAACAACCATATCGCTCGAAGACGAGGGCGGTGTTCGTAGAAAGGCAGGTGATTGAGAGGCCGGTCTACCGTATGCGTTGCTCTGGGGGTACGTCTGTGGCATACAAGAGGAATCGTAAGATGCGAACTGCTCATACTCAGAAGAAATGCCAGTGGGCATGATGGAAGATGTAGTCGTATCTGCTGGTGAAGCAGCAGCCGACACACTCGAGTGGTTCCAAGATACTCCGCCAGTCATGGATCCCAATGGCGCTAGAGGACTGCCCCCATTGACGACATGAGGGTCAAGCGAAGGGTCGATCATAGACCCGTACGGTGGGGGAATGTTGTATGGGTGGCTATCCACTGTTGTGGTTGAGGGATAGCCCCCGGCCGTTGTTTCTGGCATACAGCAAGCCGGGTGGATGTAAGGTGGTGAATCAAGGTGCTTTCGCTGAGGCGAGTAGGGTGACGTCGTGAGTGAGGGAGGTGTTAGATCCATGCCTTCTCGACCGCGAGCCGATGGCGGGCGCGCAACCGCAAGCTACCCAAGAACCGTGGGCAGAAGCAAGGCGAGTCCCGGCGAGTCTGAGACTAGTCAGAAAGACCTAGATTGATCCCGCACCAAGGGACCTAAGAGAGAATGCGTGGAATGGTCAAATTGAATGAGTCAATGGCCTTTAATGATGATGCGATGCTGAGCAAGTGCGCTCGCGTGTTGAATTGTGTGAGTGCGAAAGGCGTGAATGAGTTAGGATTGAGTCACCAATCTCGAGGGGAGGGAGCCAGGGGCGCAAAGGAATGATATTGACTCTTTCAACAACTGACTAGCAGCTTCGAAGAAGGCGAGGCTAGGTGGCAAGGAAGGAGGAGATGGTACTATTAAAATACAAGAGTCAATCAGACGGAAAGGAAGCGTGCCGCATGTGGTGGTCGGCACACGCCCAGCTTTTGTCGACACGAAGCAGGTATGTAAGACGAGGGTACCTGCTTTCCAAACAGGCAAGTTGAACGAGTTTGCGCAGGGCGACAGTGTTGATATCCGATGGGTGTGGATATGGGTGATGTAGGAGGCGAACGGACGGATCACAGAAGTGAGAGAACACGAGTCGAGAAGCGACGGCGTAAGAACCCGAGGTGTGAGGATTCGAGGGGCGAATTCAGGTTTGAGAGGCTGTGAACCAAACTGGAGAGTCACAACCAGGTGGGAGAGAGGGAGAGGAAGTGGAAGAGGAGGAGAAAGAGGTAGAGAGGCTCGCTGGGTTTTTGGGGGAGTGGCTAGATCTGCTCAAAGCCGATGTTATCAGACGGACAGTTGGGTCCCATCCATTGGAATTAAACAAGGACAGGACAGGAGAGGCGTGTTTAGTCCAGGACGGTAATGTATAGGAATGAAATAATTGTCAAGACGAATGATCTGCAGCATGGCAGAGTAGCACCGCCTTGAAGGTCCTGACATGAACTCGGTTTGGGATTGGGGGGGATCATAGCAAGGATTCGCTCTGGGAGAAGTGCTGTAGATGGGTTGAAGCAGCAAGGAGGACCCCGTCTATTCACACGGCAGGGAGTGTAGCCACCCATGCCATGGATAGGATGGACCCTGGTTAATCGTGGCCGACAGGGGTAAAGCTGCGGGCGGTGGTACCTCCCACCATGTGTGTAGGCATGTATGTAACATGCTCCACAAGCCTGGCCTCGAGGCAGGACTCGCGCTCGCTCAAGGAGGACGCTGAGAATCGACCTGACAGCTGTAGTCACCGCAGGGCAGAACTTGACACAAAGCATACCTGCGGCAGCACCCGAGAAGTGACTTGCTCGCTGTGCCTTGGGACCATCCCCTCCCCAAACCTTGACCTCTCGTCTGCCAAACGCTCTCCCAGATCTATCGATGGTGAAGGCGGGTACTCAGTCCTGCGCAAGGTACATGAGTACGAGCGTAGGGAGTAGTTGTATTGGTCGATGCTGAGTGAGAAGAGGCTTGGTCACGATGCTACACGTAAGAAGCAAAGTCCTTTTGGCGTCCGTCATCCGATCGCAGTACCTGAACTGCGCTGCATAATACGGCTGGCCACGCGGTTAGGTACTTGAGAGGCATCAGTCAGTCGAGCTAGCATCGGAATGGGTTGGCTAGTTTGCCGCCCCTCGCTCGTCCGATACGCCTGTCTCTGCCTGCAGGTAGGGGAATGGGACCAAGCGGGAACGAAAAGGGTCTTTGGGTCAGCCTGGGACGGTGGAAGGCGGCCCTAGCAGGGTTGAAGGCATCCATGGGTGGAACGGCTGTAGTGGTGCAAATCGAGGAGCGCGGTACGGATGCACACCCCTGCCCGGCCTAGGGTAAGTGTAAGTACGGATCCTGGCAGCCAAGGTACTGCCAAGGGGTAAACTTCCTTCACGAAATACAGTGCGAGTCGGCGTGAGATTTCCCTAGGCCACTCGGCACATCACCCCAGATGGAGTTAGGATGCCCAGGACATAGCGCAACCCCTCAGCCAGCGGGAGAGCACGCAGTACAAGCTGTCGCCCGTGGCTGGGCTCGGGCAGAAGATGACAGCCTTCTTTTGGAGTCTAAGTGCGTGGAGATGGGTTCTGCGTCAAGGCCTCGGTGATCGTCGAGGATGAGGAGAGCGAGATGAGAACAAAACAGGCCAGGCCAGCACCCGAGGTGCGTCTTTGGGTAGTAGTACCACCTGCGCTCGCAGCTTATTTTACCTTTAGGTGTCTCGGTAGCTGCTTCCACCCGCAGCACAGCCGCTGTCCCCTCTGTTCCTTCCTTCCCCCCAGCCATTAGGTCAGTCTCTAAGTATTCATCGAGGTGGATTGGCCCCGTCCCGTCGGCCGTTGCGTACTTCAGTGGCGATACCGGTTTCTGCGCTCGCCAAATCCTTGCATGCAGGCATGTGTACGTTGGAGTTGATGAAGGTACCTTGGTGGGCGGTTCTGTCACCAATATGTTGGCAATGAAGCGGTTTCCATGGCATTCAGGTCTGGGGTTTCTGTCTCAGGACGTATTCTACGAAATGGTCTCAGCGGGCCCATCGGCATATGCGCAATCCGGTGATTTGCAGCGCCAAACAAAGTCTGATGACCACAGCCTGAGCTAATACTTTAGTAGCTGAGGTTGGTCCTATGTTTGGAAGACTCGTCCGTACTCAAGTACCCTGTGTGAGTGCTGAGGTAGGCGGTGTCCTGACGGGCGATTGTATCGACGTATCGTGCGCGTCAGTCTTCCAACCAGACGCTCCGGAACGTCACGCAGAGGGCCGGTGCGCGTATTACTTCCAGTCAGGAGCCAAAACGGCCCACCATCTTGGTTGATAATCAAACCTTGATCTGGGAACAAGCGCGGAGATGAGATGGCATGGCCATCGCCGTGGGGTTACCTTGGGAGAACCGTGTGCTCGACAGTGCTACATGGGAAAGCTGCTGGGCCACTGGCACCACGTCCAGACCTACCATTACATTGCAGGTGTGCACGGAGTCGAGCCATCTGGACGGAGGGTAGGGTATGGTGAGATGTGGTGGGTCTGGAAGTCATCCATGCGCTGCGGGTCAAGGAAGTCCAAATTGAGCCAGAAACGACCAGGTTCGCTCCAGCATGAGGCGATTCTGGGGGTCAGGGCTAAGGTTGTTGTCTATTGAAACCCTTGGCCACCAATTTGAGGGCAGAAAACAGAGGCCCCATGTTTGGCGGGGGGAGTGGAGCTGAACTTGTGAGTCTGACTTCCAGATGCTCCTTCCACAGACTTGTTGCGCCGCTTTCTGTGCAACAGTGAAACGGATATTTCGAGACGGCAGATTTGCCTCCGACTCTATTTATTCTTTTCTGGCCCATCCTCCCCTTGTCCAAAGTGGAAGGCACCAAGGTCCCCTGGTCCGGGTAGGCAAGGAGAGCCGTTCGTACAGTGTCAACCAACTCAGCCGATTCGGCCGAGTGGATCCAACAGACGACTGCCTTGATGAACTGGGAAAGAAGAAAGCAAGCCAGAGCCGAAAAGGGATAGATGTCTCGACGGTTGGTGGCCTCTACGAGTATGCACACATTTACTACAACTACATTTGGAAGATGGCAACATGCCGCCATGTTGAAATAGGATATTCTCAACCAAGTGTAGGTCGTGTTTCGGCCTCATAGCTGGCGCCGTCGCAGATATACAAAATCGCCTCCCATTTCTCGCCACCCATCTCTTCTGTAGGTCCACCTCGACCTCCGCGCAGGCCTCATCTATCAAAATATCATTCAGGTTCTCTTGGGGCAGTCCCCAGTCGCAATTCCTCTCCTCAGGATTAGCCAGCATGGCATGGGAGCCAGGTTGCCAAATTGGGTCTGCATCTCTCCGCCCAGCTGCAGGATGTGAACATCCATATCATGGCGAATGCACACACTGGTTCGATTTGCTAAAGCTCGCTCTGACGGTCCATGGGCTGAGCAGGGTTAGGTTAGCGGCGGCTGTCCCCTGGCACGCCCCCCTGTCGAGCCTTGGGGACTTGAGGCAGGCCTCCTAAGTGAGGACACACTGGATGGGTCCGAAGTTGAATGCAACGAAGGGGACCCTCAACCAATTGGCTCGCTCGGGAGCGGGAGGGCCAGAAATCGCCGGTGCTCATTGCGAGGGTTGCAAGGTACGTAAAAGGCTGGATGGCTGGCGGCGCAGAAATGGAGAGTCGTATTCTTTCATTTTCGGTAGTCTGACGTCTGCAGACCCATCCAGCTGCTTGCTTGTCTCAAACCAATGCAGGCTCTCTGTCCAATGAGAAACCCTCCCTCGCCTCGGATGTTGCAGCGAAATAGGTACCCGTTATACATATGCAGGTGTGTAATCATATGTACGTGGTTATTATAAGATGCAAACTGTTAATTACAAGGCTCTACCTTAACTGGAGGCAGAGGTCGCTGTTGACCAATACAATGCAACTAATGACATTCATGCCCCGGGTTTAAAAATAAACAGATTCCATCAGAAAGCACAAAAAAATATACATAACTCTGTTGGGAGATTTAGTTGAGCAGAACAAGAACAAACTACCGAGAACAAACTACCAAGACGAGGAAACACATGCAGAGAAACACATGCAGAGAAATGGAGACTGCGCAAACCGCGTCCCTTGGCCACTATACGGTCCTCGCGAGCCCAATGCACACTGTCTTGCAGTCGGTGTGGCTGGTCAGTGCACTCGTGCAGATCAGTAAGCTGACTAGATCTGATCACACACAGACGAGCTTGGCACCAGCGTGGTGTCGGGCGTCTCGAAATGGAAGGCCAAATCTAGGTACCAAGCCAATGTTGTAACCGGGCTCCCGCGCGCCCGTTCCCTCCGATGCGCAAAGCACCGATCTGATTAGGTGCTGTAGGAATGTGTTCCCTCATCTAATCTGGCCAGCCAATGCATCCATATTCAATATTTGCTCCAAGCGAAAGCCTCCCCGGTTTAGCAACCCGGCAGCCCTGGCGTCCAAAAACAGCTGATGCAACTACACCAAACAGCCGCATGCAGTTAAGACGGCGATGACCAAGCCCGCGGTCATATCACTTGCATGCCCAGTGGCTTGGGGGCTGCTCCCAAACTCCTTGGAGCTGGTTCAGTGACATCTCCCGCCCGGCGATGCTGTTTTGCCACCCCAGAGGCAAAAGCAAATCCACACTCAATGAGGCTGAAACAACCACCTTGTTGGCTGGTGGCGGGCGTTTCAAACCTTCTTTCCCTCAGAACTTGGCTGTCTGTCTGTCGGTTTTCATTTTTCCGTTTCTGCCCACGCCCCTGTGTGCTGGTACTCGCCGGGCTACTCGGGCGCAACGCAGTCACATCACATCCCATACTAGTGGGAGGGAGTTGATTACTGACGATGTGCCACTGACAAGTCGCATTCTAGACCGAAGGACGGCGATGGCGCACAAACTTGCTCACCCCGATGTGTCATCCCGCCTGATGCGTCCTAGGCCGAGGTGTCTGCTCACGGATGCTCAGCTCAATTTATTTCTTTTCCTCCGGATAGCCAATATCATCCAAGCTCTATCCGACGCTTCTGTGGATCCCACGTGAAGCGGCTTGGGCAGGCGGCATCACATCTCATCCACTTTGGCGGGGTGAAAACAGATCATCGTGTGTGCTATTTATATCCAGAGAACTTTGGCTTCAACATGAAACATCCACCTTTGTCGTGATGATATGATCTCATCTGACCGACGCTACCCAACACCACTCAACAGGCGCTTGAACCTGCGTTCTAGGCGCAGGCTAGCGGATGACTTGCATTTCCAGAAGCTGCCCACCTATTCCATGACATATGTACAAAATGTCATTGGGGCGAAGGGGACAATCACATAGGCAAGTGTGCATGACGACGTGACACAGGGGAGGGGAGGGGAGTAAGTATAATAAACCGCCACGGGCAGACAAACGTCTGGTGGGTAGGGCGATGTGGCACGGCTCAGATGCATGCGGCAGAGCCAATGGAAATAGCAGCAACTGCCTATGTCGGCATCCTTATCCCCCACGCGGTAGTTCTTTTCTGCAGGCAAAGTCCCTTTGCGGACATCTAGACGCCGGAGGAGTTTGGGGAGAAGGGGAATGACAGACTCCGTCCGGAAATGTGTTGCCATTTCTGAAATACCTTGCTTCATTTGCTACATACGCGCGCCCACACCGGGAACACCCAACACCCTTCCCCCCCAGGCCAGGCTGCCGTTCCGGAGACAAGGATCAGCCGCACAGCCGCCCATCGTCACAGTGTTATGCTAGGATCGGGGTGCGTCAAACGCGTGGTTGCGACCAGCCTTGTCGGCGATTTGGTTTCGACTTTACCCGTCCTGCGCCCTCAGCCATGCCGCACCACGTGCAAAGGTGTAGAAGACTCTTCTTACCTGTATTTTAACCTCTATTTAGACGATATTTTATGCTACGGGTGCATGGTTGCCATGTTGTTTCTTGAGTTTACGCACTAATAATGGTATGATGTATAGGGTGGTTGATGACCTCGTGTTCCCGACATCACGAGCAGGCTACGAGCAGGCTACGAGCTATAAGCCCCCTTTCCTCTTTGCACCAAGCGCAAGTACTATCCGAGAAGGAATGTCGTCTTGGCTGGTTAGTAGTCATGGAGACCTTGCTGTGCCATATTGCTGTGGTTCATTAAGATGTAACCGACTGGGACCCAGGCTGGCGTGAGGAAAGTTGAATCAACGACTCACTGAACTCGGAAATACACACCATGGGGGTCAATGGTTTCTAATAATATTTTGCCTTTATTAACTTTCAGGCATGACGGAAGGAGGGCCCAAGAGATCCCATGTAGGCTCTGTCAGGGGATACCTGACGGTGGTGAATGTCCACTCGACCTCCATCGTGGCGAATGTTGTATTCAGTAGCCAGGCTATGGCGATGATAGTGCTCCTTATTTCGACATGACTAAGTGGCGTACTAAAATATCTTGGTTTGCCATATGCAGGTCAGCGTACCATGAGAACGATATGCGGGACAAACCAATGTTGGTATCCTGTAATTAATCATTAAGATTTGATGATATTTTGGGGTCCGTATAAGCAGTTTCGCGGATAGCAACCTCCATAGCCCGCGAACCTGGTTCTTAATATGAGGGATTTGCCACTTGTTTTGAAAAAGGACGGGGGAGAGGAGGGGAGTGCCATGTCATTGACGAAACTAGAGTGGTTGCAAAGCAAAACACATGTAGTTGTGATACCTGAGACTGGCGCCAACGATAGAAGCGTGGAGCTAAACCGATCACCGAAATGAGCTGTGAGAATATCGCGTGAGTTTCCCTCTACACGCGCAAGAGACCAGTATAAGCCGGGGTAGATGAGTCTCAAGCCCATTGAGTAATTGGGTGACGAAGAGTCTCAACCTTGTTTCGGGACCGCATCAGCTCAATCATGCCGCTGGACGCAGTTGACTGCCAAAGCACTGAGGCATGGTTTTGGTCTGCTTAGAATTCGGCCAGCCTGCTGGACAAGCAAGCAATCAAATGGAGACTAGTTCGGGCCCGGATCGTCTTGAGTAGCCGGGGACTCAAAGTCGAGTCGAGCCAGGTTGACTATGTGCCGATTTCTCAACCTCGAGTTGCAAATGCCTCTGGGTCCCTGGCGTCACAAATAGGGGAGAAGTTGAAGAGGACTGAGAGCGTTTGATTGATATCACAAATTCGTGACCATCCCTTGGATTTCATCTCAATTGGAGGTATCAGGAGAGCATAGGCGAGACGAGTGGCTCGACAATGTTGGCCAGGCGAAGAACCATCACCCTACGTCTCAGAGAAGAGCACATCCATATCACCACAGAACGACTGAGCATCTTTCTGTTGCTCGAGACGACTGGGTGTGCGAGAGGTAGCTACTGCTTCTTATTTGAATGAGAGTTGCATTAGAACCCGTCGCCTGTTGGTGAGGGACTTGTCTGTCCCGAAACCCAATCGTCGCAGGCTAGTACGACTCTGGCTGCATTGATGACCTGTCCTCCAAGCATGCAGAAAGCGCAGCTGAGTTCCTAAATGAAGGGGTCGCATAGACGAAGTATGGGATAGGGCAAGACCCGGCCTCCTAGGCTTGGCCGATGAACTGCGAGAGATGAGCGCATTCCAGGACGCAGCATCGTGTCGAATTGACGGGAAGCAATAGTGGCGGGCCTAGGCGGGGAAATAAAACGGAGGCTCGCTGTGCATCGGCAGGCTGGATCGTCCAAGTATGAAGGGTTCTGACGAAGCAGTGGATGGCATGAAAAGCTGTGATTAGGGCTCATCTCGTTATGCCTGAGAATGGCTCGTCCATCTCATCAGTCTCATGCATACCACCCAGCTGGCGATGAGTAATCAGGCCGCGGCCAGTGAAGAAGGTGCGTTGCTGTCGCGGCTGCCAGGGTGAGCCACCAGGTTGGTAGGTAATCCCCAGCGGCAGCTCCCACCGCGCTCCACTACACGTCATCGTCACAAGCATTTCATTTCTCCCCGTCTGCACTGCTGACTTGTCCACCCTGTACATTGCCCTAACCACTTGGAGGGTGGGAAGCATCATCCCGCTGCCTTCCCTCTAGGCAGCTGTTTATCAGTCGTCTCCTGCGCCCATGATTTCTAGACAAGACTTTGCTGTAGGGCCCTGAGGTGTGATTGTCCACTCCAATTCCGCCAGTCCTACCCTCCAACTGCCCATGACGAGAGAGCGAGAGAGTAGAGAGAGCATGGCGGCCAGCCACACCTATGGCTTAAAGTGCCGCCTGGCTCCTGTATCCCGCACCAACAACGAAGATGGCATGCCTCCGATCGAAGCACAGTTCTTCTATGCGTCCCTCATACCCATCGACGACCCCCTCTCAACCAGCTCGATTGCGGCCGGCTCCGAACCGAAGTCAGCAAAACTACCCCTCCGGCCTTTCGCCAGGGGGGATAATAATGCTCTTGAAAAGGCCTGGTTGGCACTTCAGGCGGAGGAGGACCAGAAAGACCACGAGTTAGCAAGGAAGGGAAGGAAACATATCGCTTCAGGGCCCTACGCTGGTTCTGCGAGAAGAGAGTTGCTGGTTCAAAACATTGCGTTGAAGCACTGGCAAAAGCATGGATCTAGCTTTGAGCCCCTCGCGCCATCCTTGCCCGTTGACGCCTC